CTCAGGCTACAAAAGGAAGGATAGATCCCCCAAAAAATTTCTAGAGGCAGTCTGAATCTCCTCAGCTGAACTTTATGGATGTTTTTAATCAAGACAGTCAAATATTCAAAGCCATTCTGAAGTGTGATTCGTACCTCCTTATGGAATAAAGTCCAGAAGCCTAACTGGGCTTGGCTACATCAGCAGCCTGCCCAGCCCAATTCTGTGCCCAGCCTCAGAAATAAGGGATGCTGTTTAGGGAAATCATCCAAACCTGGCTGCTTTCTGCAATTCAGTACCATTCATGCTGATTGGATTAGGGCTATTAGAGGGTACACCTTCACTTAATCCCTTTAGCATCCCTTTATGGACCTGTTGTCCATGATAAAACAGCCAAATGTAAAGCCCCTTACAAAATGAAGTTCTCTAGGGGAAACACTGACAAGCTCCTTTAGTCTATTAGCACTGTTGGGTGCTGCTTTAATAAAGAACTCCAGTTGCACTGTGAAGCAAGAGCAATGCGTGACTGCGATATCACTGTCATGTGAATGAGCTGTCCCAGTACTGCAGAGTCTGCTCTTTACTGTACGCAGAGACACATCAATACTGAATATAGTGTGTTAGCAAAACAGAATGGAAATCTTTTAGGTGAAGAATGGCTTTGCTGATTGCTCTGCTCTACCAGAATGGGGTGTGTTTTCAGGCTTTCTGATAAATGTGTGCTATTTTTCAGCCATTCAGTGTGAAGTGCTGTAGGTTTCGTATAAACTTTTATTGCTCACCACAGGCATGGAAGGATTGATTACATTGTTTGGGGATTTCCTAACTTCTGAGGCTGCCTCTTTAGCCAGACTTAATACAGTACACAAGGGGAACAAAATGCTGTTGGGCTACTTAGTAGCTTGCTTTCTACCTTTACTTTTTTGAGATCATCCCATCTGGTTTGGAGTTGTATAGTCCACAGTCTACAGCTATGGCGAATAAGGGCAAATCCATAAACAGAATGTAAAGGGCTATTTCATATTAGTACCTATGCTTTTGTGTAGTTCTGAACATCACTGAGAAGGAAGAAATATCTTACCTTGTGAATGGGGTACTGGAGATGTATGGATTGTGAGAGCAATTTTGGTGCATCTGTACTTAGATCTCTTTAATGCCAAGGGAAGACATTAAGGCAGATTACTATTTTCTGATGCAAATAGCTGCACATGCTTGTCTGAGTAGGGCAAATTCATGTATAGCCCTGGCAGTTAACTGTTAATGACTTTATAATATATCTTAGGGTCTCTGGACCAGTTACCAGAGGTACTACCCTCCAATTCTGACTAAGTGAACTAGTCAGACCTCAGGTTTAACATAACTCAGTTTTCCCAATTCTCAAATCATGGTTCTCAGGCTGGGAGTATTGCATTTCTCTGTATCATCAGATACGTGACCAAATATATGAAAGTAAGACTTTATCATGATCTAAATTTCTTAGATTTTCTAGTAGGACTGCATAGAGCCCTTGCAAAGACACTGACCTGGATTTCTACTACTTTACAAATTGAATCTACTGAAATTCTCCTCTAGTTTTATGCATGACTCTTGTCATCATCATTTGCTAGCTACTTGGCATATTGTTCCATTCTTGATTGTTGGACAAAAGTCAGGAATATCTCCCTTAAAATGAATGCTGCTTTTATTGTTAAAAACCTAGCATGAGGAGACTGGCGCCCTAGTCATTATGAACAATTCAAGCTTTCAGTAAATAAATAATTCAATTCAATTAAAGCAAATGTTTGCCTTGATGTATCATAGTTTCTAATTTCTTTAGCATGCATTCTTAGGAGGTGTTTATGGGAAGTGATACTCAAAGAAATCTTCAAGGGAGATTCTGTAAGAAAGCAGTTATGGTGCAATCTTACTTTCCTGCCAGGAGTGTGTGGTGTAAAGCTTAAAGAGGATCCCAACTCAGAATAAGCCTGTCAAGTTCACGTGGTATATGGAAACAAAGGTTCAGTCTGGCTTCCTATAGGAACATATCATCTTCTACTTCCCAGTGGCAGAAAGGCTCTTCTTAAACAGGCGAAGTGGGCAATGAACTAGATAAGGAGCTATGAAATTGTATAAAACCTGTGCTATCATGCCTACCAGTGTCCCAAGCCCTCTGCAAAGTTGTTTGTAGCTCTGAAGCTGTTTATAACATCCTTGACTAGTCTTGTGAACTCCCAGACTCCTCTCAGGGAAGCAATAGAAAGAGCTGTAGTCCAGTAGAAATCAACAAGCTGAGCCAACAGATTCTGCAGCTACTTCTTCGAATTCCTGAGCCTAGTTCTTTCTACTCTCTAGTCTCCTCTGGAGGTTCAGACATTGCCTCTATACATAGATGTGAGGATGGAGTTCTGGTTTGGTCTACTGATCTGGAAACAGGATTTTCCTCATATATTCCTGCCACCTTTGTCACCTTCAAACCAAATCCTATAACTCTACCTCAATACAGAAAGTAGGGGGAGAATGTGACTCAACAGTCTTGCATTAAAACCCCTGGGGGAGGTTCTCCATTCTGTTTTTCTGCCTGAATATATATGTGGGAGGGTAACAATGTGTTGAGAAGTGAGAACATTTAGGGACAGAATCTTCCCAGGAATGAATGTTCAGATTGCCTACCAAAGCAACTCAAGGGCAGAAATCAGCCCTTAAATATTATCAGACATCTGGGCAAATAAAAGCAGTTTAGCTCAAACTCCCTCTGTTTTTCTTGCTCAGAAAGTACTCAGCATAAGATGTCAATTTTTGAAAGTAAAGCATGGGTAAGTGATCAGATCCTTCACCCTCCTTTTCCTTTGAGAAAAGACTTATGGCTGTGCTTGAAACCAGCAGTTAACTCAAAATGAAATTCGCATGATACAAACTAAACTGAGCTTAAGTCTCAAAACTCAGATCTGGATCCAGATTTCAAAAAGTAAAACTGGGGTAAAAACTCACGACACCAGGGATGAAGTAACAACCCACCTAATCCAAGCCAATGTAAACCCAAATCTATCCCAAATTTGTTAAAGGTTCACCAAAACCACATTACTTTCAGCTCATAGAAATGACCTTTGGGCATTTTTTTTCAGGGAGTGATTTAATCCTTGACTCAACACTGCTTCCTCAATGGATGCTATCTCTCATATTTTTGTGATCCTTTCTCTACAGAAATTCTTCACAAAACCCGTAGAGGAAATAATTTATATATAAAATATGCACAATGGTACAATCAGCAAAAGAGAAAAAGAAGAAAGAGAGAAAGAAAGCAGAGATACAAAGAAGCCAGTGCTGTTTCTTGTCACCTAAAGTGTTGCCAAGTACTTTTCATTTACATAGATGACTTAATGATGATTTTATGATACTTAAAATTACTACCGCCCACAAGAGATGCATTAAAACTTTTATCAATATGTCTCTTTTACAATCTCTTTGACTGTAACAATGAGGAGAACATTGTGGAGGGGGGGGGGGGGGAATAAAAAATAAAAACAAATAGCTTCATGCCAGTAACCAGAAATACAACTCTGTGATCTTTCCAGATTAATAAATAAATAAATAAATAAATGAACAGATCTACTAGTATCGACATGATTTAAATTTACATGAACAAATAAGCTGTTTCACACAATAGAAACAAGTAATACGCTAGGACGGGAACTGTGACCAGCCTGGGACCTCTTAAAGACCCCTCTGGACCTGGCAGGAGCTTAGTTTTCCTATCTCACAGAGAGCCCCCTATGCTGGTCTAATTACCTTTTTAAATTCATATCTAGAACCACAGGCTGCCTCATGGGATTAAGCACAGTATGCTTTGCAAATTGAAAATAAGATAGCTGTTAGGGATATACACTTGCCTCTATGATTACAGCAACAAACAATGGCAAAACATTAATTTACATCTATTATAATGGCGAAACAAAGCCCTGGATTTTCTTCATGTTATAGGCAAGAGATAAATCTGCAAAGGTGAGATTCTAAAAAGTGTAGGCTCTAATGAGGGAGATTTTCTGCAGAGCAGGTAACTGGCAGGATGACATCAATTCAAAGTTATGAGGATTTGGTATATCATTAAATTTATTTTCCATAAAATGGATTTATTTTTTTTTTATTTAATGGTAAAACTATTCATAGGGAGAAAAAGTTTATGCATATATATGGGGTGGAAAGAATTTGTGTGGGGTGAAACAGTGCAGAGCAGTTGCAACAGCAATCCAGTCATGCCTGGGTCTAGGATTTTTAAAGGTGTTTTATCTGGTAGAAATGAATACAGCATTTACAAATTGAAAATAACTCTGTAAACTCAGATAAGATTGTCTTGGTAATATTTTAGCAAGGAAGCAGCTCACCACTGCTTACTTTCAATTAGCCATCTAAATCATAGCCTATACAAAAAGCAATCCCTGCTGCCTTGTAATAAAAGAAAGAAAGAAAGAAAGAAAGAAAGAAAGAAAGAAAGAAAGAAAGTTAGACTAGTTCCTCAGAGTTTTGATTCATGTTGCTGAATATGGAAGATCTGTAATCTTCCCCTTGGAGTCTATAGTCTAATGTAACTGCTTGAAAGTACTTTCCTTCTGCTGCTGGCAAAGATATTTTTTTCTGAAATGAATGGTGATTCATTATAGATAACCCTTCCCGATTAATTTTGTTTTGACTTTAACTTCTGAATAAGAATATAAGCAGTAAAGTACCTTCTCCCCAAATAATAACTCTGCTGTTATTTTTGGTTGACAAAGAGAAATTCACTGTAGTTGATGTAGAGAGAAATCTAAATTTAGAAAGAAAACAAAGACATTGACTGTCATCCAAAGTTCTAGCTTTAGGATAAATAAGTGTCATTTTATTACTGTTACTTGCCTGTGATTAATAATAAATATGTATACTTGGAATCAGTATTCACATTTTCTGTCTTCTGTCTACACAGTCCACAGGCCTAACTCGCTTGTAGGACTGACTGGTCAAACTGAAGAAATCTAATTTGTGTCTACATTTTTCCACTGATTCCCATGCAGTATTTTGGTAAACTTGAAGAGACCAAATACCAAACCTTGCTGCAACAGTGACTGGAACTTATCAGGGCCGAACTCTGCAAGAATATGAAATTATGAAGATTACTATGACAGAAGATAGGTAAGAACCTGAAAAACAGACGTAGGTGTAAGTCACTACAAATAACATTTATTTTTTCAGCAAATGAATCTGCTTCATGATTTTGTAGATGAGTCTCCCTACCTTCTCTCTGGTTTTTAACCAAAATTCCATTTATTTTAGCTCAGTTCTTCAATTTTTTTATAAGGGCGTTTTCTTTTTTTCAGTTGATAAGGACTTAACCTAATTTTGCTGGATGAATACTATGACTTGAACTTGTCACTTTTTCCAGTTTGGTTTAGTTTGTTTGTTTGCTTTCATATTTTTCTTTGTTTTGTTCAGTGTTTTTTTGGATTGAGAAGATGCCCTGAATATATGTCTGAGTTATTAGCCAAGATCCACCAACACACCCAAAAAAGAGAAAGAAATATGACATAGAAATATTAAAATTAAAAATGAATTCTGCAACACTAAACAGTACATGCAATATATAAAAAGGGTTTTGCAATGTTGGATGCTATCAAATACACCTGAATGATTTTATTTGCACTCAAAAAAAGGTTGAACCATGCATGCACCTCCCTGCAAGAAGTTAGCCCCAGGCAGGAAAGGAGTTTTTCACTCTTTTCCATTCTCCGCTATTTAATAGTGATTTACTACCAGCTAAGCACATGCCTGGTGTTTTAAAGCTGTTGAAGTATCCCAGTGAAGTCAAGGGGACTAATGTATGCTGGGATTCTCCATGCTGAAAAATCAGGTTGATGTTTCACTGTCTTGTTTAAGAAAGACCTAAGTATTGAAGCATAATTCGATTAACAGTTTGGTCACTTGGGACAAGGACATACTTATTTTCCCTTTCCATGCTGAAAGGAAGCATTTCATTTTATTTTTCTGTGATTTATTTTTGACATATGAAATACCTAATTTATAGTAACGAATGGGATACTTCTGCCTTAAACAAAAATACATTTTACATAAATCTTCAGCCATGAAAAAACGAAGCCCAGGCTCGTGAAAACAAACATTTTGTTCTATCTGTGTGTTCCCTAGGTTTCAGCCTACCTGCATCATTTTGTTGCATGCTTTCACTGACACTCCATCTATAGTTGTAGATGGACCCACTGTTCAGCCCACGTTAGTAATTTTTCCTCCTGCAAAGAAGCTGGAAACATCTGAAATATTGCTGCAACTGCTATCTGCAGTGCAGTCTGCAAAGTTTTACACACTGGCCATGTTCAGCCACAGTCCCCAATCAAAACCAATATCAACTATGTAGTGCAGACAGCCCTCATATGCTCCTAACACTTATGAAAAGCTGTTTGCTTATTGTATTTCTTGTGTAGTGCACAGGAGCACTTTATAAAATAGAGACAGGTTGGGGGAACACCTATAAGAATGCAATAAAAATTTATTTTATAAAGAGTATTTGTAAGTATCTTAAACAACAGCATCCTCTGAACTGCAGTAAATATTAATCTGTGGATGACTGGGGAAAAAAAAGAAAAAATAACAGCAACAACAAACAGAAAAAAATTTAATTAAGTTAATTCTGATGTAAAAAAAAAGAAAAAAGAAAAAAGAAAAGCTGCTTTAGGGGTGGGAGGAACTAGAATTGAAAAGTAGAGCCAGGCTATTGCATTGATGACATTTTTACTATTTCACCGAAGCTGATTACAGTTTACCTTCTTCTTTCCACATATATGTATTTTTAAAGCACCAATTCACGCTGAAGTGAAGAAGTGGAGTACTCTACATATGCCATAAGTTCAGTCATCCAGCTGTGATCTTCCCTGTACCTGAGCAATGTCTCAACAAAATCCCATGTGTGCGTCTGTGTATGTAAATGTATATATATGGACAGATTTGTACCAACTCTGCATTGTTACACTTGACTTACTCTTTTTTTTAATTATGTAAAAAAATCACATTAAGCTGAATCTAATTACTGCAATGTATATTAGAAGCAGGGCACCATCAAAATTTTATTTAAATTAATCAGGTTTTGATTTAAGATATTAAATTCAAATTAATCATGTAAAAATGGAAATGATCCTTGACGTGCTTCCAGCTGTGACTTCAGTCTGTTTTCTCGTGTGAGTCACTTTCGGGATGTCTTGGGGGGAACATTACGAAAATTCACGCCGGTGCTATTTCAATTAGAGTTATTTAGCAGGACAGATGTAAAGAATACGGTATAATTAAGAAGGAGCTGATGACACGGCTACAGATTTTCAGGATCAAAAAAAACCTGTTAGAGAAAATTGACTACTGGTCATGTAGTCCAAGTTCAAATATGCTGGGGTTAAGCACTCATTAATGATGGAATGAGGTCTTTAGATAGACCATTGGACTCTTTCTCCGGAGCAATATGCAGAATTCTTCCCTGGAAATAACTTTGAAGCTTCATTAGCAAGCAGATGATACCTGATAACATAATTTTAAAATTCTTAAAATAATTTTCCACCCCCTAGTGTCTAATCTTTAGCTGGCTAGCTAACTTCAAAGGCCTTTAGGAAAACATGTGAGAGACATAAATGACCAGGTAAGAGCGCATATACACAGAGAAATGTATATGTGTATACTCAAAGCATTGTTAAACTCATGATGAATATGAGCTGCCAGGAATACTGCTATTTTTTCTAGAGCTCTTTAGCAGAATGAGAGACTGTACTAGTTGCACATTTCCTGACTGAAATCAACAAAGAGAATGGGGGCTTTCCCATGCAGAGGCCTGACTTTGTGTTTATTTATAACTCTTTATATGATCAGTATTTCCATTGTGAAAAGTGAACTGCTCATTGTTTCTTTACTCAAGTATAGAGTGATGCAAATGCAAATGTGCCGCAATACTATGCAGTGTGAACCTTGGAAGTTATTTTTTCAAATTATTTTACCTGAAATCTATTCTCCCAGGTAAAAGTCGACATGAAAAAAGATCAGAGGGACTATAATCCTTTCCTTCTCATACTCATAGTTGTCCTGAAAATATGCATCTTTAAACATGCTTCTTATGGTTGCTATCCAGGGCTCTCAGTATCTGCATCCCTCCTACTGAGTAATAGTAAAAGCCAAGTTAAATTTAAAAAATGCACAGTACATACTGTACACTCATAATTATAGATTAAATATTGATCTCCATGGTGTTTTCTCCATTTCACTGGCAATCTTTCTCTTTCCAAAGCAATGTCCTGTTGTCACTACACTCTGAAAAGCATTACCAAGTGAAAATATTTTCTGCAACTAAAACCATTGCTTTTGGCTAAAATTAAAACAAATCAAACTACAGCAGGTGACAATAAAATAATTTAAATGTCTAGTTCTGTATATCTGGTAACATTTTTCAGAAGCCAATCTTAGAATTTGTAGTCACATTATTTGCTTGTTCAAGGAGCAGCACACAGCAGTAGCTAAAGGAGAAGCAATGCACCAGACTAAGTGTTCCTGGCTATCCATAATAGGTGAAAATTAAGTAGCATATTACACTTGCCATGGCATACCTATTATGTAGATTTCTAGGCAGGAAATTGTCTGCAAAACAGATACATAGTAGGCATAAACTTTTTGTTATTAGGGTAGTTGATCATGGTGTTGTTATAGTTGTAGGAATATAATGATTCATTGAGGATTTCTGCTTCCCACTCAGAAGATATAAACCAACATAATGATTGTTCTTTAATAGTATTTAAAGATATTTTAAAAACAAATTGCGCAGGAGTTTTGCATAATAATGGCTTCAGTTTTCCAGGAAATGCTTTTTTGGGAAGTGCATAACTGTTTAAATATTAAAAATGGCTCCTCATAATAAACTTGAATGTAGTAAGCAACCTATGAGAAAGGATGTGATAAAAAATATGCTCAATTTTGTCCTTTTAAAATTTATTTTTTCTTTAGACATAACAGCTGGAAAGAACAATTATTTTTTTTTCATGAACTAGGCTGTTGTCTGGATAACTGAGATGCATTTTCCCATGAGAGATACACAGGTTCATTTCCCATCTGGGTATCTTTCCCCTCCTGTTTCCTTTCTCCCTCCAACTCCCCTCTTGCAGGACTAGAACATATTGATAATGAACCATTGGTTTCCATTTCACACCCAAGAGATTGTACGAAACACAAAGCTGCTCTGTGTGAAGCATAGATTAGCCCAAAGATGTTTGTTCACATTTTTCTCAATCTTTCATCCATGCCTGTATGGGTGGATTCCCCTAATGGCAGGGACTCATTTGTAGGTTGAGGACACAAGTAGTTTAGATTGGATTCTTTGATCAAGTTAGAAGTGAAGTTGATGATCCCAGGATGGAAACCTCAGATGCCTTTTGAGATCCTATGGGGAGGACAGTTGGACAGGGTTGAGTCTCACTCCTTACCAAGCAAAACTGGCCCTAACAATGGTGGTTGGCCATGGTCTTAACATCTGTTTATGAGAGGGCAAAGCTACGTTCTCCTCATTTCTGGTGTTTTCTTTAATTTTAAATCACTATCAAAATACATATTTTTAATAAGTTTTTAGTTAATTCATTTTCTTTAGCCAAAATGTATAAACCTCTGTCTGTCTCTCATTGATTTACAACATGTCTGACAAAACATAAGTCTTAAGGTATCATGGGTCTCTAGAATTGAGCCTGGTTAGTATACCAGAAAATTATATATGAAAGATGCGACTTTTGCAACTGGAACCTTCATTCCAAGGATATGTTGAGGTCTTTCTCTCCAGAGGCAATTGACAGATGCACCTGGGCGGACTCAGTGAGTAAAGCTTGTACTTGGAGAGAATTGTCCTGAGAGAAGGAGGATCTGCAAAGGCGAAACCTTAATTTTTACCAGTTTTAATGAGTCATTTTGGAGGCATTTTGTGCCTCTGTCTACTAGTAGCACTCTAGCTAAGGCTGTAGCGGCTTCTCATCCCTGGATAACTGAGTTTGTTCTCCTCTGTTTGCACAGCACAGTCAGATTGGCCCTCATAATATATGCTTTTATTCCTTCTAAGACCAGCAAGAAAAGACACATAATATCTTATAGACAGACATGCTAATTTTGAAAGTGATTTTCCCAGCAGCAGAACATGCCCCATGTTTTCCATCTAGAAGTCAAATGTTTATGATTAACTTTAGAAAACTCTTTTTTAGGATACTGAGGCATGAATATGCCTGTAGAAACGCCTCTTTCAGTGGCCTTGAAAAGTTCCCTCTGTGAACAGGTTGAAGAAATTTTCAGAGGAGAGGTCCTCACTTACCAGCTGTGAACACACAGCGTGCAATGCCAGTGGAAGAGTCTGGGCAAGTCAGTGAAAAGAAAGCTAATTACACTGAAAGAAATCTCCACATTCAGCATACATTAGCCAACCCAACAAATCACTGACACAGTACAGAACCTGAAACCACCCAAAATACTAAGCTTGACTGTTAATTAAAATCCGAGTCCCTAATTCCAGGCCACTCTGCTCTAAGAAGCAATAAACACTGACAAACAGCAGAAGTCAATGCTGCAAGCCTTTCCACTGAGGATAGTTAAACAGGCAGTGAAGCCAATTTTCCAGGTTTCATCAGGAACCATGCCATCTTTTGTGTTGTTATTAACACCTGTAGAATTAAAAAGAAAAAAAAAAAAAAAAAGAAAAAAAAAAAAAACTAAAAACTAAAAGCTAAAAACAAAACAAAAAAACAAAAAACAAAAAACAACCCACAACCGCTTCTATTTTATTTTAATGATATGAATATTTCTACCTATCCTGTTTGCAAAGAACAGTTTGGACAATGAACACTGTAAGGTTGAGAAAATTCAGTTTTTAAAATAAACTAATATTTAAGATGGGCTTTAAAGATATTGTTATTTCTACACTCATCTCACATTCTTTTGGGACCTGATTCTGAAACTTTGAGTTTTGAAGTCTGTCAATATTAGATTCTGGTTCACATATATGTTCACATCCTAACCTGGTGGAGTGGGTGAGGTACTGGAAAAACTTGAAATTGTATATAGATTGTATATGGAATCTGCCTCCTGATTAACACTCTCAAAGTAGAATAGAATGGCACAGGATTTTGTTTTGGTATCAAGATGTTTTAAAGTAGGATACGATAGTATCCTATTCAATCTAACATTAGTAGACACAATGATTCAGACGAGTCTTTAATGAGTTTCTTCCTCAGTCTTGATGTTACATCAGTTTTTTGGCCCTGACAGCAGGCAGTTATGGGAATACTTTACTTTCTCTTGTAGGGAAAAGAGGTGTATGAAATTCATAATCTTCCAGGCAGCTGTGCTGAAAATTAGGCAATCATTTGGAGTTGAACAACGTGTTCAGATTTGAGAAAAATGAGATGTCCTCTGGGTTGAAAACAGTAACATGAAAAAGGGCAACTCGGCTAGATGCGTCCAAACAGGCCCACAAAGACAGATAACTATATCTGTGCAGAGAATTTAACTGAATTAGAGCTCCAGTCCGAAGTCTAAATTCTGTATCAATTTACTGTCCAGATCAGAAGATGCAAGGAATCTTTTATCTTTAGCTGAACAAAAAGTAAATCTGTAAGAGAAAGGACATTCCTGATTCTTTTAAATTATATACCATGCAATATCTGATTTATGAAAATCACCCTGACACAGCCAAAATCCATACTTACATACCATGTTAAAGCTCTGTACTCTTAGTTTAGAAACTATCTTTAAAAATAAAGTAGGACAAAGTCTAACTATTTTCCTGAGCAATAAACACACCTCTAGTTGGTTTTTGTTTTTTTTTTTT